ATGTAGGCTCCTTGAGGATAGGAGCTGTTTTCTTTGTGTCCCCAGCTACTAGCAGCACAGGGCCTTGAAGTAGCTGTCTACATTCCTCACTTTCTTCTGTCTTCAATCAAACAAGATGATAGCTTTGCTTCTTAGCCTTCTATGGGACAAACTGGCCTTCTTGTTGGGCCTCACTGCACACCCCATGCCCTGCCTCTCTTACGCTTGCTCCCGGAGCCTGGAATGTACCTTTCCATCTCTGCCTCCTGCTCCTTCCAGACTCTGCTCAAGTGCTCCCTTCCGCTAAGAGCTTTCCTGGTTTTCCCAGCTGTTAGGAACTTCCCCATACAAGTTCACCTCCCATCTGCTTTGTATGTTTTATAAACGCTGCACTTACATACGTGTAAGTTGTCTTCCAGTTGGAGTATGAGATGCCCGAGGGCAAGGACTGTTCTGCCTTTGTCTTTGTACACCCAGGTCAGTAGAGTGCTTAAAATGAACTGCCTCGGTGCTTAACAAATCCTTAACTGACTGCACATAGTATTCTATTCCATTTGTTGAACTGAATATGCAAAATACTGTATTAGGTGTTTTTGAGAATAGTGTGTTTTTTTTTAAATGGCACAGTCTCTATTTCTAAGGAGAATAACAGTGTCTTGGGGGGTGGTGAGGAGGGTATAACATGTACACAGAGAAGTCAGTCAGCCAACAAACATTAGCCAGTCACTGTATTAAGCACCAGATAAGTATAACACAGAGTAGAATGTGAGAGAAGCAAAGGAGTAACCCAAAGTAGATTAAGAAAAGACTTCAGCTGAGGAATCAGGAACTCCTTCCTAGAGGTGGTAACTAATAGGAGTTGGAAAGGTTTCTGAATGGTAGAATTAAGGAGGAAGTGCATTCACTGGGAGTGGGGGAAAAAAAGGGACAGGAAACAGATGAGGATGAGTTCTAGATTAGCTGTAAAATGTATGAAGGCGATAAAATGGAATAAACCAGCTTCCCTGGCTTCCTTCAAGCCTCAGGTAAAATCCTACCTTCTGGAAAAAGCCTCTCCCCATCCTCCTTAATGCTAGAACCTTCTTCCTGAGGTAACCTCCAGTTTACTCTGTATATATCTTGTTCATGTATCACGGTTTGCTTGTTGTCTCCTCCTTCAGACTGAGTTCCTTGAGAGCAGGGACTACTTTCACCTTTCTTTGTATTCTCAGTGCTTAGCACAATGCTTGGTACATAGCAAGTACTTAAATTGCTTACTCACTCGAAAGGTAGGTGGAACCATAGACCTTACAGAGCAGGTAAAGGAATTTATGTTATCCCATGAGTAATAGGGAGCCACTGAAGGTTTCAGGTCAGCGAAATAACATGATCAAAGCCCTGCATCAAGAAGGTGATTTTGGCTGCTGCTGAGGATGAGAATACATGAAGGTAAGAGAGGAAAAGACTCAGATCAGTTAGCTCTTAATGAAGACATAATGAAGGCCTGAGATAGGACAGTGGGAGTGGGACAAACCATGGAACATGAAAACAGAAAGGTCCAAGGTTTGAGGCTGAGCCTTTGTGGCTGGGGAGATGTCATCCATGTCAAGTGAAGATGTAGCCATCACTAGTCATAGGCTGAGTACCAGCAATTCTTTATTAATTTAGGCAAGACAGTAGAGTGAAAAGAGTACTAGGCTCAGAGTCAGAAGTCCTAGCTCCATTTACTATTTTATGTGATCTTGTGCAAGTCACCCTCCCTCCAGTGGGTATACATACACTTGCATTATCTCAATAGGGATCGGTAGCCTGCAGGGATCAATGATACTGGACAGAAGACACTCTGACGTGGTGCTATATGAGGCTTTATAACAGTCCTTGATGTGTAGATAGAACAAACACAAACCCTAACCACCAAACCCATTATACCACTTTTGAGACCTAGCAGGGGCATTCATGAACTCCTAAAGAATTGCCCAAGTTTAGGCCTGTCGAAAATATCCTCTAACATCCCAAATACCTAAATTTGAGATTCCTGAACTGCTTAATTTATTTCCACTAATAGGTTATCAAACTGTTACACAAACTCTTGACTTTATTCTACTAAATCTTAATGAGGAAATGAGTCGTTTAGATCATTCTTTTACAGAATGACCAAACGAGGTGTGTCCAGCTTGGGAACTGGTACAATCTCCAATATATTCTAGCATTCTCCTTTTATTATAAATGTTATGGGAAGAATTCCTTCTCTTGGTAGGAGACTGAACTAGATGGTTTCTTAAGGCTATTCCAGCTCAGAGATTCTGTTAAATCATTTGACAAGACGTATTTGTGGAAAAGTCTGAAAAGCTTTGCAATTATAGTCCCTATTGATTGTATTTCCCTGAAATGTCTCTTTACAGTGTGAGTTTATCAGGGGCAGGATTTAATTTAACCAATTTCAGCTGCTGGCCATCTATCATTCAAGATAGGTTTTTGCCTAGATTACAACACTTTGGTAGCTAATAAATTACAAAAGGAAAATTCATACTGCTATCAATGGTTTCAGAATTCTAAAAAATAGCTCCTGAGCTCTGTGAAGGCAAGGACCATGTCTAATCTACACTTTATATTCCCTCTGGCACTCAGCACAGTGCCCCTATACTCACTGGGTGTTCAACAGTGTTTGTTCAAGTGAAGTGAACTCAACCCAATGGAAATTCAAACAAGTGACTTGGAAAAAAAAGGGTAAAAAAACGGTCCTGGATGAAACTTCACAGCTTTGGCTCACCATCTTTGAATTTACTGGTTTTCAAAGTAAACAGCAAGCATCTAAGCCTTCAAAAAATTGTTTGGTTTTGGAAGGAAAAAAAACCACAAAGATTTTTTAAAAATACCTTTTCACTACATTTTTAATAGTACAAATTTCTGAACAATTTACATCATTGCTGCATTACTACAGAAACATATGGATGCTTCTTATCTACTCTAACCTGAAATACCTTCTATTCATGCCTAATTTATGTTGCTCAAATGTACAAGACTAGCCGATGTAATCATATCCTCAACAAATCACAGAACTTTAAGAGCTGAAAGATTCTCCCATGGGGCAATACTCGGCAAGGCTCTCTGTCCACCTTAAAAGGCCTGACCATGGTAACAGCCAAAGATTCAACATCCCTGGCAAGTAATCATCTGCTTTTCTCTAAGGACCTCCAGTAATGGGGAATTCAACACCTCTCACTTATTGCACTGTCAGTTCCAAATGCTGAATTTTCCCTTAGATTGGGGCAAAATCTGCTTCCTTGTACCATCCACCTAGTTGTGCCCTTAGGCCATGCAGAACCAATCTGCCATCTTCTTGCTAAAGAAAAGGTTTGAATCAGCTCCCTCCCCCCATCACATATGCTTTTAGAATGATTCATCTGACATAATCCCTGTATGCTCCATCAGTGTGAATTATTAAATGTAACCCACAACGTACCAAGGATAAAGGATTAACAGAAAGGCATTTTTCAAATAAGGCAAATTAAAGCCTACTTTGCACAGCTGCATTTCAAAATGATTATTAGAACCTTCAAATTGTGGCACAGGCAAAAAAAATGTAGCTTAAAAATGACTGAGGCAGTGAGAGGATGGTGTTGAGGTTGATATAACAACAAAAAAAGGCAAACAATACTGATTCAAGTCAACTTTATTTCACATAAAGAGACCATGGGGCACATAAGACAAAGCATCAAAGCCCTAGAAATGCTCAGGTGTAAGAGCCACACAGACTGGGGTTGGGAGCGTAGATGCAACCGGATGATTTAGCACAAAGTAGGAGAAAACTGATTTTTAAAATAGACCCATATATTAATAATATTTATACACTTCACATATACATACCTTTTATGTATATGCATATATATGAAAATCCTCAGCCAAAAGGAAACTGAGTGAAGGAAGGACAAGCAAGCAGCCCGCATTTGCAGAGGGCTGAGGAAGGGGGGTGCGTGGGGGGGGAGGCAAGGGGAGAGGGTGAGGATTAAGGCGGAGGCCATGCTCGGGTCCCTTCAGTGGCTCTTTAAGCACCTGCAGCTGGTGCGTCCTGAAAAAAGTAAAAAGGGCTGGGTTGGATTCCTAGCTCAGACATTTCCTGGCTGCGCGGGGCTGGGCCTCCTGGTGTCCGTTTCCTCCAGATTATGTTTCTGGGACTCCCTGCCTCACAGAACTGTCTGGAGGATCCAATCAAACATAGAATATACGGTGGCACGTAAATACCGGCTATTCCACAGAATTACTCCTCTCCGCCTAAGCCTCCTTGGGTTATCAGAGGTCCGGGGCCGTGCTGTCGGAGGACCTGGCCCTGCCGCTCCCTACAAGTCTGACCTTGGGTTCTCCGAGCCTCAGTTTCCTCGCCTGTCAAAAAGAGTAGGCCTAGATGACCTCGGAGGTCCCTTCAGCTCTAAACACCCCCCGCTGCTGCTCCCAGACCAGGCTTTTGTCCCTCTCGGCTGCAGAGGCCTCGAGGCCGGCGGAAATGCCGGCTGTCCGAGAACAAGAGGTCCGAGAGGCTGACCACGACGGTGGGAGGGTCAGCAGCACCCCGGATCCTCCAGGCCCCGGCCAACCTCCCCACCCCCACCCCCTCCCCGCCCTCCCATTCCAGGGCCTGGATGACCTCTTCGTCCTGCCGACGCCTTGCCTGTCCTCGGCTTCGCCCAGGGTCTCCCCGGCCAGACTGGAAGCTCCCTGAAGGCAGGCTATCTTTGTATGTGCCCCCATCCCACGGCACAGCGCCTGGCACAAAGCAGGTGCTTAATAAAGGCGTAGTAACGGACTCGGACGGGGGTTAATTAGTGCTTGTTGACTCTGTTGCTCAGGGACTAGGGAACTTGGGGGTCCAGAGCTGACGGCGGGCCAGCCTCAGTTTCCCCAGGTGGAGGAGGCAGGGGCAGGAGGCTCCGTCTCCGTCCTCCCCCCTCCTCCCTCTCGTCGGTCCGGGCCCCCAGCCCCCGCGGCGGCTGCCCCTCCGTCCCGCCCTCGGGGCCCCCGGAGCGGAGCGGCCTCTTACCCGAGGGGCGCGGGCGGCGGCTCCGGCCTCCTCCCGCGGGACAGGAAGGCCTTGGGCAGCAGCAGGGAGACGCACAGCACGAGGCCCGACACCATGGCCACCTTCTGGAAGGCAGAGAACGCCATGGTCGCACCCGGCCGGCCGACCCCCACCGGCCCCGGCGCCGCTACCGGAAGCGGAAGCCCGGCTGCGGCTCGCGGCGTGCGTGAGCCCCTTCTCGCTGCCTCGCCCTCGGCCCGCAAGAGGGCGCCGCGACGGAGCGGCGAGAGGGACACAACTCTTCGGGACGCGCCCGAAGGGCCCCGCCAGGTGGGGGGATGGGGAGACAGGTTGGCCGAGGAGGGCAGGAGGGAAGGGCGCGACGGAGGCGAGTTCGCAGAACCGCCGCCAGGGGACGCCCAGAAACCGGGAGTCAACGCACGCGGAGGACCAGGGAAAAAGTCTTTAGAGGCAACCTTTGGGGCATTTTCACGGTGATGATGATGAGATAATGTCATCACAGTTACCGCCAGAGCTAGCATTTATGTGGCAGAGTGCTTCGCAAACATTATCTCATTCGACTCTCCCAACACCCTGTGAAGTATATTACCCCCATTTTACAGATGAGGAAATCGAGGCAGAGGTTAAGTGGCTTGCCCAGGGTTACAGAGTTAGTAAGTGCCTGAGGCTGGATTTTAACTCAGTTCTTCCTGAGCCAGGTCCATCGCTCTATCTACTGTCCCAAATCCCACCTCAGACACATACTAGTTGTAGCACAGGGAGTCGGGAAGACCTGAGTTCATTTTCTGCCTCAGACACTTATTAGCCGTGTAACCCTGGACAAGTCACTTAACCTCTGTCTGCCTCAGTTTCCTCATCTGTAAAATGGAGGTAATAATGGCACCTACCTCCCAGGGTTGCTTTGAGGAGAAAAGGTGCTTTGCAAACCTTGAAGCATAGGATAAATGCAAATTATCATTACAATAATTTTTTGGGGGGGATGTGGATCTTTGATTTCATTGGAGTAAGGGACTTAGGAGGGAGGAAATTCCCTCTACCAGTGGAGATCATCAGCACCTCCTCTGCAAGTTAGTCTTGGAGAGTTGCCCAGAGCACAGAGAGGTTAAGCCACTTGCCCAGGGTTACACAGGCAGTACCTGTCAGAAATGAGACTGGAACCTTAGTATGTGTCAAAGAAGGGACTTGGAGTCAGGCTTCTGCCTGACTCCACTGGCCCTCTCTGACAAAGAATGGTTCATGCTAATAACATCAATTCACATTTCTAGAAGCCGGATTCTGGTTTACAAATACAAACAAAACCCCTTTGCAACTATGTGATGCTTTCCAGTGTCTGAAGCACTGGTGTACTCACAACTGCCCTGTGAGGGATGACGTTCAAGTAATATTATCAGCCTCATTTTATAGATAAAAAAACTGAGGATTAGAAAAAGGCAAGTGGTTTTTCCAAGTTGATCCAGCCAAAAAGGGTGAAGGGAGCTGGAAAAAACACTGGCTTTGGAGTCAGAGAAGCTGAGTTCAATCCCTGACTTTGCTATTTATTGTCTGATCCTGGGCAAGTCCATTAATCTCTTTGGGCCTCAGTTTCCTGATCTGTAAAACATAATCTCTAAAGACCATAAAATCTGCTCTAAATCTATGATCCTGTGACCAGGTGATGAATCCCAGGTCCCTGACTCAGTCGGCCATTCTCTGTGTCTCTCTATGGCTGACGTCTCCACTGAGCTCCACAGTCCCATCACTACCTACACTCAGGACATCTTCCCGAGGGTGGTGTAATAATGAAATGTGCCCTGGACTTGGGGCAGAAGGTCCAGGGTGCAGTTCTGAATTGGTTGCTAACTCCTGCATAGCCTTAGACAAATCACTTAGCCTGGCTGGGCTTACCAGCTGTAGAATTAAGGAGTGAGAAGAGGTGATCTCTAAGCTTCCTTGAAGTTCAAGATCTAGCATGGTAGCATGGAAGGAAAGCTAGACTTGAAGTGAGGAGACCTGGATCTGAGTACTATCTCTAGTATTCATCAGTTATATAATTTTGGGTAAACTTCTGTGAGTCTCAGTTTCTTCACTTATGAAGTGAAGATAATAGTTACACTATTAGAGAACACTTATTTTACACTATTATATATGTTATGTATAATATATATTATGTATAAAGTTACGCTATTATAAAACATGGGAGGTGTCACAAGAAACAAGTTCTGTAAACCTTAGAGCACTCTAGAAATGTGAATTTCTATTATTTCTATTTCTATAGACATCTGTAGAAATTCTACTTCTAGTAACTTAATGGAGTCAGCTTGTGTCCAAAGGAGTTGACTCCTCATGTGCAAAGAGCTCACTGAATAAGGTGTGATCTAGAGAGGAAAAATACATATGAAGAATGATATCAGCTGACTGAAAGGAAGAGTAGATAATGAAAAATAAGACTAGATAAAGAAAGACCAGATGGAAAAGGGGACTCAAAGCTTCCCGAAGATCTGGGCAGGGGTCTGTGCAGAAGGGCACTGCCTTCACGTGGCCCCCAGAGGGATGGAATTGTGGGGAAGAATGAGGTAGCCGGAGAACCGGGGAGGAGAGAGGAACCAGGTGTTCCAAGGAGAAATGAAACACAGTCATAATATGAAGGAGCAGGGTTTGGACCCTGCTCTTTTCCTGGTACTATGAATTCAATGGATTGTATAAAAGAAAGGAAACAAGTATTTATTAGGTACCTACTATGTGCCAGGCACTGTGCTAAGTGTTTTATAAATATTAAAGTGACTTGCCCAGGGTCACACAGCTAGAAAGTGTCTGAGGCAGGATTTGAACTCAGGTCTATTCCAACTCCAGATCCAGTGTTCTACCCACTGTGCCACCCAACTGCCTTGGCATCCTTGGAGAAGGTGGGATCTATTACTTGATCCCTCCAGAAAAGGAGAGGAAAGCTTTCTTGACTGTCTGTGGACTCAGGTATTTATCCATTCTCTACTTTTTCTTTTCTTTTGTAAATAAAACCTTTTCCATATTTAATGTCTAGTCAGCGTGATTATTTGTCCAGGCAGCCTGAGAGCCCTTTTGGAGGTGGCAAAGGCAAAATAAGGTAAATACCAAAGTATCTGGCAGCTGGCTCAGTGAATAGAGGGCCCAACCTGGAGTCAGAAAGACCTGAGTTCAAGTCTGCCCTCTGACACTTACTAGCAAGGTGACCCTAGGCAAGTTACTCAATCCTACTGTTGCCTCAGTTTCCTCACCTGTAAAATGAGCTGGAGGAAAAAAAAATGGCAAACCACTCCCGTATCTTTGCCAAGAAAACTCCAAACGGGGACATGGAGAGTCCGGCATGACTGAAGAAGCACACTGAAGTATCTGAAAGTCTCTGTGGCTAAAGGCATAAGCTAGAGAGGTTTTTGTGAGAGGCAATCCCAGAGGAGGGACACTTTCATCAGGGCTACATTAATAACACTAATGGGCCTTCCCTGCCCCAGGTTTTCCTATTTATGTTAATGACATCTAGGCTGTTAACCTTTGTATCATCTCGGAATGCTCCTTCCTCACAAAATCCAATCAATCACTATGACTGCCACTTCCTCCTCTCCCATGGCTCTCTAGTGTGTCCTGTGTTTTCCACTGGCACCAATCACCCAAGGGCCCGAGCTCAGGACAGGAAGCATCCACCAATGGTACTCTCTGGAATCAAGTATACTATATCATCTCTCATGATCAATCTCTTTCAAAGCCAGTCTCATATTTGACCTCCTCCAGGAAGCTGTCCCTGATCACTCCGTTCTTTCCTCCGCTCCTGGAGGCCTTGATGTCTGTATTGCTCATCTGGGCACCTATTCTAACTTGTCTTTCCGTGTGTGCATCCCTGGCTCCCCAACTGGACTGAGCTTTGGGAAGACTGAGGCTGGACTTTCCACATCTCTTTATCCCCCAACGGGCCGGTACTCAGGCAATGTTTCTCAATAACAATAGCTGCCATTTCTGGAACATATATATAGTTACAAAACGTTTTCTTCATAACAGCTCTGTGAGGTAGGCAGTGCAAGTACATCCATTTTATAAATGGCACAGTGGAGCCTCAGTGAAAGGAAATCATTTGCCCAAAGTCACACGACTAGTACGTGCTGAAATGGAATCAATGACCAAGGTCTTCTGGCTCCCAGATCAACTTATTCCTTTATGTCAGCTGGAGCATTCGTCGGTTCTGGTGATTGTCCTTTCCTGTTCTTGTTACGGGACACATAAGCCATGTTCTAACAGTTCCAAATGTTGGGGCATTTATAGAAATAAGGTTGGTCCTTGGCCTCCACCTGTGGTCTCTCCAGTCCTGTAGCCCCATGTAATTCCCAGGATTTGAAGCCCTCACTATTTCCTGACCCAGAAGGAGACAGAGCCATCTATGTCTCTTTCATTAAAAGCTTCTCTGCCCTGCAAATGCTCATTCATTCATTTATTCATTCATCTAGTGATTTAATCATTTACATATCCATTCATTCATTGATTCATTCAACAAATCAATTAACCCATCAATCAACAAGTATTTATTAAATGCCTGTTATGTTCCAGGCACTATCCTAGGCACTAAGGACGAAAGTACAAAAAATCAAATAATTCTTATTCAAATATGGAAAAATATTTACAGCATGAATGTAAAGAGAAAAAAACAAATACAGACCAAGTAATTAAATACAATGTAGCTTGGGCGGGAGGGCTTTACCAATTGGGGGGATTAGGAAAGGTTTTATATAAAAGGTAATTTTTTTGTGCCAGGAGAGATGTAAGGGTTCTCTCTACAGCCTGGGGGACTCATACTACTCATACACACTAGCCCAGTGGGCTTGGGAGCAATTTTATATCAGCAGAACAATGACTATTGCATTTAAGAGAACTCGCTAAAGCCTGTACAGATAGAGGTTTTGGCTTTGAAAGAGGTGCTTTCCGACAAGTTCTAAGGCTTTGTGCATAGATCTCAACAAACACCCACTAACATATTCTGACAAGCACTAAGTTGGATGGTGCCAGCCAACAATAGGTATCAGGGCTCTAGCCAGCTATGAGTTCATTGTCCATTACCGGCTAAGGATGAATAAGGTGGATGCTGATTCCACAGGCCCCGTGAGTCCAATTCCACAGTGAGACCCAAGCAGGGAGTAAAGCTGATCTGTGACACAAGAGAGCTGGGGCATACAAGAAATAATACAAGAAAGCCCAGCTGAGAGCCTTGTACCAGAGGGTGCACTATTAGCAGCCGCAAAAATTTGG